AGATAGAAGGAGTTTTTGTAATATTTATAAAGAAAAATTTGATTCTAGTATTATAAAACAATCGATGAAATACTTAAATATATGACTAAAACATCGAAGTGAGCAAATTGGGTGATAAATATCATAAATTGAGAAAGAACAATGTATTTATTATAGAAAGAAAAAAATTAAAACAGTAAGAATGATTTGTAGTTGGAAAGTATAGAAAAACTAAGACAAATTGAAATATTTACGAAAAGTATTAGTCGCCACGATACACAACAATGTTTTTTTCTGTCTCATACACTTTGATTTCATGCAACTTGATAGTATCAAATTGATTGTCGATCACTGTGTTAATCTGTTGCCAAATAAAAACAGCCAAATTCTCAGTTGTACTAACAGTTTTCGTTTCACGAAAATAATCGACGTCCTTATCGAGATGTTTATGATCAATGAATTTTAGTACATGTTCTTGTATTAAATATTTCAGATCAGCAATATTCATGACCATTCCTGTGCGGGCATCTACATGACCAAAAACAGTGACTTCAAGCACATAGTTATGACCATGTCCGTTGGGATTATTACATTTGTCGAATATACGCATATTATCTTCATCAGATAAATAAGATGAATGAAGACGATGTGCTGTAGAGAATGTTTCTCGACGAGTCAAATACACTTTGGGCATTGATAAAATATTCATTAGATAATAATCGTCAAGTTCTTTACTAAAATATTATATATATATATAATTTCTACAAGAAAATACTTATTAAACTGAATGAATAAAATAATAAATCTTTCATACATATATACAGGTAAAACTAAGAGTATACGATGTGATCGAGGGTTTCGATGCTGTTGTTTATTTCTTATCCTATTATTTTTATTTAACACTTGTATCGACAATTATGTATCTAACTGCATCGATATCCCCATCAACACGTATTCCTTTTACAGTACCAATAATATCAAATTAAGATATTTCAAATCTTTAATTTAGAATTGTGTTAATAATATAAAATATTTATTCTGACATAAAAAATCCCTATTTAAGATAGGTTTGACTGAAATATTTCAATTTTACATACACAGTAAGTATAAGTGACAGAATCGAAAACTTTAAAAAGGTAAAATGATATGTTTATCTTTGTTGTCGAAGCTCGTTTTGTTGTTTTGTATATTTATGGATAAGACGATATCGATAGAGAGAAGGTAAGATAGAAAATGCAAGCAAATAACATGTAAATTGAATAATAGATCTTTTCGGATAGATATGAGTGTAAAGTATTGAATGTAGGCGGTTATCGGCGAAGATGAGATAGATTATAGCTAATGTAACCATTCATACATAGCTATATTTTTACAGCGACACATTCATGTCCATCCATCCACTTTTATTTGTTTCTTCTTTTTTTTCTAATACCAAAATACAGAGGCAAGATGTTCTTTCTTTCATCTTATAATGAGAAGAAAAAGAAGAGATCTATTTCAGAAAATATTTTTTATTTGTTATTTGTTTAACAATAAACTACAAGTCAATCGGAGAGGCTCATAGATTTCTAAGATAAGGTGAGTTATATGATATTTTAAAGATAAGATCAGTAATAGAGAGAAAGAACTAGAGCTATATATAACAAATACATCGTTTCATTTTGTTATTTCCTTTGTTATTGTTGAAGTCTTTTTTCTATTTCGATAATCTGTGGTGTTTTTAGTTGATTCTATATATGAAATATGATTGAATCTAATATTCGATATTTACCATTTGCTGAATTACATATTCATCTCGAAGGAAGTTTGCAACCAGAATTTGCATGGCATATAGCAAAAAAAAACAATATAAAACTTCCATTTGAATCACTTGATGCCCTTCGTCAAGCATATCGATGCTCTGATCAAGATGAATTTTTTAAAACATTTCTTTCTGTTGGTAATGTTCTTCGTACAGAAGAAGATTATGAAGATGCTGCAAATGAATATTTATCTAAAGCATTATCACAAGGTTTACACCATGTTGAAATGTCATTTTGTCCACAATTTCTGAGTGAAAGAGGAGATGATTGGCAAACAGCTATTCGAGGCTTAACGAATGCATTAAATAATTGTGAGAAACAATATAGTGTAACATGTTTTCTCATCTTGGAATTTAATCGTTCATTATCTGCTGAATCTGCAGGTAAAATTCTTGAAGAATCAATTCCTTATACAAAAAAGAATGGTGGATGGATTTATGCTATTGGACTTTACGTGGAAGTCGTTCCTGCTGTTGGATTTTATGAAGTATATGAACGTGCAAGAGAACTTGGTCTTTATTGTGTTGCACATGCAGGACATGATGATTTAGGTAATGTTCCTGATCCTGGTCGATTTGTTATTGAAGCAATTGATAAACTTAAAGTAAATCGTATTGATCATGGTGTTCAATGTATGAAAGATCCAGAGTTAATTAAACGTTTATGTAATATGAATCCAAAAATTGCAATGAATACTTGTCCTGTATCAAATGTCTTATGTGGTTTATTTCCATCAATTTGTGATCATCCTTTAAAAAAATTGTTAAATATGGACTTAATTGTAACGTGTAATTCTGATGATCCAGCATATTTTTGTTGTTTCAAAGATACACTTGATGCTTGTATTAAAAATTTATCATTAAATCAAGATGATCTTCGTCGTTTAGCAATTAATTCATTCGAAGCATCTTTTCTACCTGATGAGAAAAAGCAAGCGTATATTAAAGAAATACTCGTATTCCAATTTACAAATTAGATGTTAGAAAAACTTCTTTATCCTTTTCATAGTTTTTGTTCTATAATGTGATTATAAAAGAATAAAAAATAAAGTACATGATTTATATAATGGACTGTCTGAGTGTGATCGTGAGTCTGGCTCATTTTGTTTCTTCTCCGTTCCCAACTATCCTCATGTGGGTGTGAATAGGAAAGCTAGCAGTAGATTCCAATAATCCTTGTTGATATCCATTGATCGATTTGTGCTGGTTGGAAGAGACGATTCTTTTTTTAATTACGATCAGAAAAGAACACTGGATTGAGATAGATTCTTGTTTGAAAATGATACTAATGTGTATATTGATAATTGAGATGTTTAAAATGTCAGAGTAAGTGTGGGTGTGGATGCGTCTGAGGATGAAGAGAAGACATCTACACCCACACCCTTTTTTATATACCATATAAATACTTTCGAGTATTACATTAAAGAGCACAATAAAAAAGAAAAAAAAGAAATAATCTGAAGTAAAATAATCAATGGCATCTATTTAAGCGCTAAGTAAAAATATATAAATGCTAAGTTGATTTCTGCTAAGTAAAATTTGTATATACATGTACTCAGTAAATAAGTTGAATGTTCAATAAATTTATTGAATGCTCATTTAAAATAATATTTCTCGATAATTAAAACTTTTTCTAAGTATATTAATTAATATACATGTTAGATTTCTAATTACTAGGTAAATTTATTAAACTTATCGGAGAAAACACATTTTAACAAGTAAAAAGCATATTTTAGGAAATAAAAAACATAAATTTGATAAGTAAAAACAAACGACGGGCAAGTCGTCAGTATGGGTGTAGGTCTTCTCTTTACGCTCATCCACACCCACACAAAAATAAAATGAAATTTAATTAGATATACTTTTCTTTTGTTTTACATGTCTTTTCACTATAATTTAATGATCAAAACAAATGATGAATAGTTATAAAATAAGTGAAAAAATCCTTTGAGAATATATCTTTGTAGATATTTTGCCACATTACTTTTGCATTATCAATTAATCAACATAAAAATCATGTATCATATTCAAAAATCTTTACTATAAATTCATACTTTAGAATTGTTTTTTTCATCGTCTATACTTTTATTTATTATTTTGTGATTATATGGTCACATTCATATATTCTTTTACATATCTCCATCACTATTTCAAATGCTTTTGATTATAAAAATGATACTTCAATTTAACATTATATTAAACAATATTTCCATCAATAAATGGAAGTTGTTTCTTAGTTCTAAAGCTATAGTTAAATGATATGCTATTGTCTATTTTTAACAAATTTATCATCAATATCAATGAAACTATTTGAAAATGAAGTAATGTAATAAAGTATTTAGTATATAAAATCATGCAGATAATTTTTTCATATGAATGACATACTATATGAGGAGAGCAACAAAAGTATTTTCTTCTCTCATGTGTACTAGCTCTAGCCTTTGATTGTACTAAACAGAATTAACGTTTTGGAATCTATTAATTATCGATAATACGAAAAGATGCATTTTCTTGAATTTCGATATTAATAAATTTCTAAGGAAATATTGTGATATAGAGGAGAAATGAAATTTTAATAAAACAAGAGCTGTGGGATAGGAATGATTTACTTAAAATGAAGCTGGAAATATAGATCAATGTTCTGTATAAAAAATAGAACTAAATACAAATGAATTTATAATAGATTAAATTTTAACTTAACTTTGTTGAATTAAAAATTCAAGTATTGTCCTCTAACTTCATAACTGGATGTTCTAAATTGAAATGACGATCGTTATTAACATATTAATAATTTTCAGATAAATATTTACTACAATAAGCATATTTGAAAGAGATTTTTCTATATTTTATAAATTATATGTTCATTATTCACCTATTCGAAATAGTCTGTCATGTATCGTGTATAGATGTATATTCTATTTTAGTGTTGAATATTTCACAAGAAAGTAGAAAAGTAAAATATAAATGATATCATTTCATATTTTGTTAAGTTCTTATTTTAAATATCCTTATACAATAATCATGAAACTAACTTATTTATAAATGAATACAAAGAAAAAAACAAATTATACGGTTCATAGTTAATATTACAGTTGATATTCCTGACTTTCTTCACTATATATGAATATCATGATTTTGCATACATGTGATAGTCGTCAATATATTAGACGAAAAGGTAAAAATAAAACGTAATGATATTCATTGATACTTCCTTTCGTTATCCATCAGCCATCAATGATATAATCATTCAAGCATATCTTTCAATATTTATTTTGCTTTAAAAACATATTACAAGTTTATTAATTAAAACAACGAAAAGACAGAAAATGAATAGTGATTTAGCTTCTGATTCAACATATTCATCGACTCCAACAATTACAAAGGTTCGTCGTACGAAACGTTCTAATACTGAAAAACGTCCGAGAATGTCAGCATCTATACCAACGAATCCTCACATATTATATAAATCACCTCCATATCCAAAAGCTACAAGACTTATTCCAGCTTTATCTTGTGACAGTCATAGTTCATTTGCATCGAATAGTACAACAAAAACACAATCAACAATACTTAATAATGTAGACTCTAAAAAATTACGTCAACATATCGAAGAACAATATAAATCACTAGTAAATAGTGAAGCAAGATATCGTTATTATATTGAAGATCAATCTATTATTATGCATATGGATGAACAACTTAAAAAAGCTACTGACGGTATATTCAATTATTTTTTAAACTTTAAAATATATTTGTATCTTCTATGTATATATGTACAGGAACATATTTTATACGACCAGCTGAATCAAATGAGGCAAATTCAGATATTGCATATATTCTTCATTTTGTTTCTCACAATGAAATTGCTCGAATACCCATCTGCTATAATAAAGAACGTCGAGTATATTCGTTTCTATCTGGTAAGTACTTTTCATAACTAGAATATCTGTCAAAATCAATCATTACCATTTGTATATCTCAAAATATTAAATTACTAAAAATTCTGTTATACTAATCTGTAATTAAATTCTTTTTTGTTTTGTTTTATAATATAGGATATGGAATTGGATCAGAAGTGAGACGAGAATATACAGGCGTTGATTTACTCATTCAACATAAACAACAAAATACTTTTTATGAATTACAATATCCATTTAGAATTTGTCTTTATCAATCAATTCATGTGCTGAATGGAAAATGTATTCCATTACCTGATGAAATTCGTGTTTTAGATCGTCAAAATACTATACTTCATGAGTTAGCTGCTCAAGGTTTAACACACTATTTCAATGAATTAATTCATATTTCGGAAACCGTTACTCATTCACTTCAAAAAGAAGCATTATTTATAAAAAATAAAATAAATGGAAGAAATAAACAAGGTTTAACACCATTGATATTAGCTGTTCAAGCTAAAAAATATGATTTTGTTGAAATTTTACTGAATAATAAAGCTGATATTAATATTACTGATGGACAAGGTTTATCACCATTACAGCATGCATGTCGACAAGCAAATCATAAAATGTTAAAAAAATTGATTCAACGAAATGCTGATGTACATTATTTTAATCGAAGGTATGATTTATCTTTTTCTATATAAATTCATTTTGTTGTTCTTACATCTATATAGTCAAACAATCGATGATACATATCAATCCAATTTATCAGCATTTCATTATTTAGCGTGAGTGAAATTCATTCGATTGTTGATTTGAAAAACAAATTTTGATTGATTTTTGACTTTTAGAATGGCTAAAGATGCACCAACAAAAAACATCAAACTATGTGCAACGGATTTAATAGAACGTGGTTGTCCATTAATGCCTTTAACAAAAGAAGGCAAATCACCATTTGATATTGCTCATATGTACAAAAATTCTACATATGAATGTGTAAAAATATTTTGTAATAATTATCAATTCAATAATTTAATGCCAATAGAAGTATCATCTCGAAATGAAGCAAAGTCAATGTTAAGTGATTTAGCTTGTCCTAATATATTAGGAAAGTTAAGATTACGTCTTAAACAATATGATAAGAAAGATTGTCGTAGAAAAAATGGCCTATTTTTATTCTATAAAACAAGAAAAACTCGAAGTCAACCAAATGAAGAATATGGTCTATGTGTTCATTATAATGAACAAGTATTCGTTTATCCGATCACACAAAAATATACATCTAGTATTATTGGTCTATCAAAATCATCATGGGAAACGATTTTTAATTATTCACTTATAACTGATACAGTTACAGATGATCATATACAAATAATAGTATTTAAGACATACGAAGAACTTATCTATAGTCATACGAAATATAAAGGATTATTACCAACAGTATTAACAGATTTTGTTCGTAAAGAAAATGGTGAATTGATAACAATGGAAGCTACAGAATTATTATTACCCACTGATCCAATAAGTAATACGTAAGTATAATTCTACTTGACTTTCGATTGAAAATCTTCATTCAAATTAGAACGGATAATAATTCTATCTTTAACAGTTACTATAAATTTTGTTGTACTATATCTGTATGTTTTCATTCTTCATAGATCTGAATATGATAGTACCGATTCTGAATTCGAAACTGATGTTGATTCAGTTGATCGTATTAATTTATCTGATATTCATTCAATAAAACTTCTCGATGAAAATCGTCATCGATTAATATGGTTAGCAAAAGTTCGATCTGATGATACAACATCGTTTTCTATCATTATCAAGGATTATCTTCCTAAGAACGAAATCGATTTATACAAACAATATCGATTAAATGAATTCAATCATTTTCCTCAATATCAAAGTAATCAAACTAATGAAGAATTTTCATATGAATTTAATACGCGTAATTCTACTGATTATAAATATGAATCAAGACTTTTACTTGATCAACTTAAAAATCATCCATTTATTGTTCATACATTTATTTGTAATTATCATCCAAAAAATGATTTACGTATATTTATGGAATA